GGGGTTCTGGCGGGGAGGCGGTGGGGGTGGCGCGCGCGCGGTTCCGGCGGTCAGGGAAATGAAAAGTGCGGGAGCCAGCGGCTGGAGTCTCCTCCCTTCCCTTTGGGTGTGTGCAGTGGGTGATGGTAGCGGGGGTAAGGCCCCAGCTCCGCTGCTGTGGGTGACTCTTGGGGCCCCCATGGGGGAGGGGAGTCTCATTAAGTAAGGGAGCCCCTGGCGTACCTCCCTTGGGGGGGACAGGAGGGGCGACACGGAGCAAGGGGGCCGTCCCCTTGGGGTGAGCACATCCTCTGTATTAGCCCTTGTCACTGTAAGCACCCTTTCCCCTTCCATGTTTGCTCCCCGTCCCCCCGTCCCACTTCCCTTCAGTGCCCCTTTCACCTTCAGTGCTGCTGTGCTCCCCACGTTCCTGCCCTTAAGTGCAAGCCGCACATGCGGAAGATGCTGGCCTACTGGATGCTGGAGGTGTGCGAGGAGCAGCGCTGTGAGGAGGAAGTCTTCCCCCTGGCCATGAACTACCTGGATCGTTACCTGTCCTGTGTCCCCACCCCCAAGGCGCAATTTCAACTCCTGGGTGCGGTCTGCATGCTGCTAGCCTCCAAGCTGCGCGAGACTACGCCCCTGACCATCGAAAAATTGTGCATCTACACCGACCACGCTGTCTCCCCCCGCCAGATGCGGGTGCGTGCATGCTTTCCCCCGCCCCTAACACATACCGCCTCCTCACCGGGAGAAGGAAAGCTAAGCCCTCAGAGGCTTTCTGCCCCCTGGGGGACGGCTCAGGGCCGCAGGGGCCATATATTTGGACAAAAGATGGGCAGTGCGGCTTGATGGTTAGAGTAGCCCGAGTGGAGGCTTAAACTGCCAGCATGAACGAACTCCCCTTCTCCTGACCTCCAGGGGGTGCCACTCCTCTCGGTCTTTCCCCCAGATAGCAACAGGTCAGACTGCATGTCTACACTCACTAGTACTTTGCCTCCGGGTTTACACAACCATCATGAGTTATTTATTGGCAGCAGCAGGACATGCCTGCACACCCCCACTGGAGTGGGGGAGTGGAATGTGCTTCTTGTGGGGGAGGGGGGCTGCTCTGGGTGAGCCTTTATCCCGGTGTGGACTTTGTGATTGAAAAGCCTCCCAGAGCAGATTAAAGCCCAGCCCTGATTGCTCTCAGGAAGGGCTCGAGGAGTTCCATCCCACCTTCTTTCCTTCCTCTTATATCCCAGAAGAGACAGCTCCTTCCTAATCCTCATTGTGAGGAACCTGAGCAGCTGCCTCAGGCCTGGTGGAATCATCTCATCTCTCCCTTTCCCCCTTAGCCGGAGGCCAGAGCGGAGACAGGGAGCTGAGCTGCAGCTGCTTCCGATGTGATAATGATGCCCCCTCCCCTGGCCCGCCCACTCTGACCATGGTCTTTCATAACCTTGTGGGGAGCTGCTGTCACTCCTGTGGTTTGGGAAGTGGCTCCCTGGGCCTGGCTAGGA